TCTGTGTAATTGCTGGATCGTTTCTCTGATAGAGATCAAATTTACTGATTATCAAGAGAAATCTCACGTTTGGGCCCTTCTGTCTTTAAGTTGGCGGAGTTACGTTGGTTCACGCAAACCTGGTGCGCAAGCTTTTCTTAAAATCTTTAACTGATTCGTCTATACATGAAACTGTAAGCCTTTCCAACTCCTGAAAAGAGCTATCGAAGAAACTTTAAAGTTCTTGTGGCATCTGCTCCAGTGGGCATCAGAAACTTGGCAATCACAATTGACACTAAGTAGTCTACAATCTTGCACATCTTGAAAGAAAGTTTCTGTACTAAAGATGCTGTGATAAACACTTCAACGTGAATTTCAAAAGCTCAAACAAGTCTCTGTTGGGAGTCACGTGGAGCGAATTTGTCTCGATTTTGCTCTTAAAAGTACGTAAAAATGTTTAAGTAGATTTCCATAACACTCTTGGATTCTCATTTCGGCAAGTTGCATATTAAGTTTGTGATGTAAACTTGCCCGTAAGGTGTGTGACTCTAAAATGCACAAATGCAATTTAATTGAGCGACCGGACGCTTGGTATTGGTGTTATAGCAGCAGCAATGGAGAGAAGTAAATCATGTATCCAAACGGAACAATTCAAAATTAGATCGTAAAACGTTTCTTTTTTGAAAAGTAGAAACTCTGTCGCTTCTCTGACAACGAGAGAGTTAGCAGACCATTTAAGCACATCTCAACCAGTAGGCAAAGCGCTGGTTTTTCTGAATGTTGGAAGACAAATATGATCCCCACTAAACAACAAACTACTAAATGGTTTCAAGGAGATAGGCGTCCGCCAATTCTGTTTTGTGCAAACGATGGCGAATTTAAAAGGAACTGACGGCTATACTGGCTAACTGCGAACATGAGGCACTAAGAAGAACTGCAACAAGGCTCTGAAATCGTATAGCACAAGTTAGAATATGTCGCATGTAAATTAGAGAAATGCTATTGTTGCATTTTGATGAAACAGCATCCAGCCGCATAAAAGTATAATTTAACACACAGAAAGACCCTGTCAGCAAGAACTCGGTACAGTGACTCAGTTTACTTCAACTACTACGATAGCTTCAAATTATTTCGCATAGAAAATACTTTCCAAACGGCAAAAGACAAACATTTCCACCAAACGATCTTGGCAAATCATTAACAGCGGTGTTTATAAGAAAAATTGATTTATTATTGACAATACTAAATATCTGAATGCGGACTTGGTTTTAAATTGTTCTATTACGATATTAAATCCGAATTGTAGTCAGATTTTTCCCAACAGCTATAGCGCATAAAATAGTCATTTTCGCTGTAAGATTTTAAAAATACAGTCTATCTGAGAAAATTCCATCGCTGAATGAAAAATACCCCAAACTGGCATCGTTCTTCCTTTTCTTGCCTTTAGTTCAGACGATGCATTGCTGATCCGGTTGTTACGACTACGAAAAGCCAAAATTCGAAAAGTTTGCTTACCCAACTGCCACCTGATTACCGCACTTGGACTTTCGGCTCTCGGTTTGTGCGAAAATTTGCAGGATGTCAACTTCTCCCATTGTTCCAATCTGACCGTAACAATGTGCATTTGCTTGATCCAAGTTTCATGTAGGATGAAGTGGTTAGCTGTCTCCTTCGTCGTTTCCCAATGCTGATAAAAATCAATCTCTCCCACACACCCATATCGGACAAATCACTGAATGTGATTTCGCAGTAGGTTTGAATTAGCCTTGGGCTCAACATTTAGACGAGCCGCTAAGCTTGCTTGGCTGTCGATAGCGTACTGTCTGGGCGTCACAGACATTGGGCTGCGTTTCTTTGAGGGGTCACAGTCGGCCTCTTCACTTCAATACGTCGATGTTTCTGGCTGTTCAAGGGTAAGTGTTGTCTTTGATGTCAGTGTGGAATTCAGTTGACAACTCTCGGCTTGGCCGCCTTTGCACAAGCCATGCCTGAAGTTCAGACTTGGGTGCTCAATTTCCTGCCTCACTTAAACAAGGCTGTATTTAAAGTGAGCGCGTTTGTTTTAGTTTCACTTGCAGGCTATTGGTTCACGAGCCGTATTGGAGGGTGTCGAATGCAGGCATCGCAGAACACCAACAAGATTGTCAGAAATTCATATGCAAATAGAGGGATCCAAGAATTTTTTTGACGAAACTCCTCGAGCTCAAAATGCGATTTGCGAAATCTTGAACAAGGGCCTGAAAAAGCTCTGTATTTACGGTGATGCTGAGCTGACTGACCTTGTGCCCGAACGGGCATACCCCTTCCACGAACCAAATTCAGAAATGCTAGAAAATTTGACTAGACTGGCCATCGTAAACTGTTCTAAAGTAGGCGTTTTTATTAGCATCTTAGCATAAGGTGACGGATCGTATGTTCGGACAATTGGTCACCTTGGAGAATCTGCGATGTCTCAATATTTCACATTGCTATCGCTTAACTGATGAATCCGCCAAAACAATATCACAGTCGAGATACGTGGACCGAATCCATGAACTTTATCTTGCCTACTGCTATCAACTGACAGACGCTGGATTAGCGGCTCTTATTAAAAGGTAGGTTGCATTTGGGGTTGAGTCTGAATGCGGAAGGCTCACAAACTTGTTTTACCTGAGCATTGAGGGCTGCGAAAAGTTGACGGACGAGGCCTTCGCAGGAATTCGACAGCTAAGAAATCTACGGTGGATAAACTTTTCAAGGACGCGATTGAGTGATAAAGTGAGTTTTCCCCCATCCACTCTTTGTTTAGGCCTGGCTGATAATCGATAATTTACGCGCTATTATTAGATTTGGGCACCAGCAGAACTATGTCAACCAACCAATCAGAAAACACCTTTGGATTAAACCAAAATGAAATTGGGACTATAAAATTGCGATTTACGGATTAGGATAAAATGCACTTTTAAAAGAGCATCAAGGGGGAAATGTTGATAAAGGATAATTGTTTACACGGGGAGAGAGGAGAGCGTCGCCATGGATGACGGAGGCTTTGACGAAGGCGGATCTGGCTCGTAGACTCGGCGTGAAGCCAATTGAGGGTTCGAGTAGCACTCTATAAAGCAAGATAGATGACCTTATATAAAATTGGCAGTTAGAACAGAAAATCGCTTTGAATATAACCTAATAATTGATTGAAATTTTTGTGTTGGTGAATGAATGATCTCAGACATAAAAGTCATACCGAAATCCCTTTCCTTTTTTTTGAAATCACACAAACTAATTCGCGAGATACGGCTGACATGTTACTTCCCAACTACATGACTCCAAATACTTGCCAATTTTCCATTCAGTGTGTAATGGTATCAGCAAAATCAGTTCGCCACCTACCAGTGAAAAATGTAACTGGTACATATTACATCTTTCAATACCAACAATCTCCAGAGCCTTGGAAGAAAATTTTGTACTCCCTTATCGATTTCCACACTATCTGCAACAAACTTAGCAGACAGTGTTTGAACCACTTCAGTCAATATCAAAGCCTTTTGAGGTTGCCTGCAGTTGCCTTGATTGCATTTGGACTCGAAGAGTATTTCTGGCAGGTTTAACCACAAAATTTACTCGACTTTCACAAAGTACAGATTAATTACGTGAAGCATTTTTGACAGCCTAATACTGTGCTGCATGTCCAAAGACGATTATCTTCATGCAAATAATTCCGACAATTTTGTACCAAAGCTAGGAGGATGTGGGAGAAGGATTCAATCAGACAAAAGCGTTTACGACCAAGACGGTTCCCAAAACTTGATCCTAGTTAATAAAAACGAAACTAGGACAGACCGAAAATCTGGTACTGTGGGATTGTTAAGCCTTAAATGATTGACATTGCCCACTGACCTGGTTTATTTCAGACGCTAGAATACCTGGCCGGCCCACCCTGGCTGACCCATGTCAACTTGTCTGGCTGCTTTCGTGTCTCTGATCGCGGTATAAGTAGATTCGCGGCCCAGGTACGAAGAATCGAAACACTCCGAATTTCGAGGTGTCGAGTAAGACATGGGATCAACTATTGCCTTCTTTAAGAGCCTTACAAGCAGAGGAATTGAGTTGGCCGTCTACCACTGTCAGGGCCTTCGTGAAATCGATCTCAGTGGTGTCAAAACGGTTAGTTCACTGGTTCACCTCTTTCGCATTAACAAGTTGCATATTCTAGGTGACGGATGAAAGCCTACGGGCCATCGCAATGCACTGCCCCTACCTAAACGTCCTGAAGCTTTCAAACTGCCTCGGAATCACGTAAGCAGCCCTTACACTTTTATGCTACATCCTAGAGAAACGGGTCTTATCCACGTATGCACGGAGTGCCGACAACTGCAACATTTGAGTCTACGCAGTGGAATTGTTTTGTCCGAGTAAGCATATTCAGCCAATAGACTAACTACATAGATCTACTCTAGGAATGCTCGAGAAGAAAATAGAACGAGTAATATATCGTCGCAAGCGCCAGAGTAAGGGCAAAAACGCGGGAAAATGAGCAAAAGTGCTCCTGAAACACGTCGCATGTCCAGTGTGCTTAGTTCAAAATCACTGTCGTGACTTGCAACACATTTTTTGCTAATCTCTGTTCTGTACAACATACCCGAATCGCCCAGGCTGGGCAAATAAAGGTGCTTTTTAAAAAACCGAATTTACAAATGATTCTGCAAACACTTAGTTTACGTTCATAATTCAACCAAAACCCTAGTAATGAGCAACGTGGCAACGTTCGTCTTTGATTAATCATTAGACAGGAAGGGTCGCCGATTTGACGACCGATCGGTAACGAACATCCAAATAGCTCTTGGAAAGCCTAAATTCTGGAAAAGGGCACTTCGACTAAACCACAAGAAGTGACTAGCGCTTCCTACCAGGAACTCTAGATTACCGAAATCAAAAAATCATCAAGGCGTTTTCGCAGTTTTTTAAGAGATAAAAAGACGACGTGATGCGCTTCCACGCTGATGCACAAGGTTAGCACACAAAAACTGTGGCAACTGAACTTCCCCTCATCGAATGGGAGCTCTGCAATTCCTGCAGAACGGCAACCCAGGCATATTCTGAGCACCACAGACGCGGCAGCAGACGCCACTACCCCCCCTCTGAGGAGGGGGTCCGCCCATGATCGACCATTGGTTCGGGGCGCCAGAACCTATCAGACCACGTTGCGAGGGCGGTTGTGGCATCATGGGACCACGGAGGCCCGGCGGCTGTGGCGGTTGTTGAGATGACAAAAGTGCCACGGCTGCCGCGGACATGAAACCACCGCTGCCACCGTTACTACCGATGGGACCACGTTGGTTCAGGGCCACATTCATCATGCGCGCCTGCTGGAGGAATGCTGCCGCAGCCTGTTGCTGAGGCGACTGGTGGTTGCGAAGGGCCATTGTGCCGCCACCGACGTTTGGGTTGATTGGACCGCCACGTGAAACCGGACCCGAGTTACTGGTGTTGCTGTTGTTGTTGTGGTAGTTTACCGGCTGCATGTGCTGTCGCAAACAGAAAATGATACTACAATCTAGGTACTTTCAACCACATGGCACTACAAAATTTAAAGTGAACTTCATTTTCACGAACCAATCAATATTAGTTCCACTTAACGGAATATGGATTCCACGAATATCTCAGAAAATAATGTAACAACAGTCCAATAGAACGAACAACTGAAAGGCATAATCTACGCATGTCTCGGGGGCTGGTGATTTGTCGCATTCGTGTGAGTTAAAACCATCACTTACATTGTCGCTTCGCCGATGATGATGGTTCCCCCGGTTTCCCTGATTTTGCTGCTGACGGTTTGTGTTGTACCGCTAGAAATGTGACAAACACCACGTGATTTTCGTATTCGGTTGGACCTAATAAGTCAACAAGAACGCCAAGTCGACCAAAAGGGACTTCGTGGTGATCGCGAGGCACGCCGCTCACCTGATTTCTGGTCTGTTGTGACCTTTGTTGCCTCCTGTTATTGACTGCAGCCCCACGATTTCCGTTTGCCTTTTCATTTTTCTTCTGAGGCAACGAGGGTTTGAGTCTTTCAGCAGCATCTGGTTTCTGCTGCTGCTGCTCCTGCTCCTGCGGTTGTGCAGGCTCCGCAACCTTGGGTTGTGGGGTGATGGGACTCTTCTGCTCTTGTTTGAGTCGTTTAGCTGGCTCTACATCACCCTCCCTACCGTGTAAAATGGCAGGAACACTTAAGACGGGAATTACACCAGTATGAAGGCAATTCTACGAACAACTGGCGGAGGTAATAACGGCGAAATTCGGCGATACGTCAGAAAGGGAAGAATTTTCCGCATTTTATGTGACATTACGATGGGAATGAAAGCGTGACGCAACCACATAAGGCATGTGAACGTGAGGAAAAAAAGTGTTGGGACAAGGCCAAAAATAAGTCGGCCCCTGGCGTGGACTTGGCACGAAAAGACGCGCCCCACGATTCAAGAGGATTGTGGTTTTTGATAAAAAAAATACCCCTACGTGACAAACCCAACCTCGTTTTGACTGCCGCCAGAAGGCTGTCCTCAAAGTAACTATCGGTCCACTGACCAACTAAAAAAACACAAAACGGCGAAAGGCGACCAATGGGGCCTTAACAGTGACCAAGGCTGTGCTACCTAGTGGAGAAGGACAAAGCGCACCAAGGGAGGAGAAAGACGAAATTGTAACAGTTCAAACCAGGAAAGAAAACAGCGTGTGCACAGCACACGTAACTGTTGGAGGGAACTCCACAGAGAATCTTTACAGGCACTGTGAAAGATGATGCCAGAGCATCCACTCCTGCAATGGCCCGGAGTGTGCAACAGTTATAAATGAGCAGAGCGAAGACTTATTAGAATTCCACAAGGACAAGCTCTCTCAAATTTAAATACGATAAAACGGGCACTTGGCGAAAGTGAAATAGGCATGCTGCGGTATTTCAAGACCTTAAACAAGAATGCAATTAATGCCAAGGAATCTATGGAGAATGGCATCTTAGAGATGATCACGACTATTACGGATTACAATTTCGAGGAGGCACGAAATTTTGCGATCCTCGAGGTTTCAGAAAACAGTGATACTGAGAGTGACGTCACAAAAATGACGCTGACAGCAAGCCTCACCACCTATGTTTCCCTGTGCACCCAGTGAACTGATTCGCGCAAAAGCACTTTTAAGGAAGTGTGGAGCTTCTTAGCACGCCTTGACGGCGCAACAGCTACGAATCCGACCTCTAGTCTCAAAGCTCAAGGGCAGAAATCATTGGACAAACTAGACACATGACAGCTTGTGTTGTGGCTCGTTCTAATGGGAAAACCGGCAATACAAGCGACATTTTCGGTAGCACTTTCTTACCCAGATTCTTCGCCCTTGTTTGGAATACCATTGTCGGCAGGGGACTGTTCTGACTCAGCGGGGGCTAGAACACACACACAGAGAGAGAGGAGAGGAGGTAGAGACGGTCGAAAGAGCGCCAAATTCTTCAAAAGGGTGTGCGTGGAATGCACCAGGCTTAAAATGGCGTGTGTCTGGCGAACTCTGGGGCTCAACACATTTTGGCGGTTGAACTGTTTTTGCAAATAAAACTGTGGTGCCAAAACACTGTGTCCTAAACATCGGAGGTGCTAGTAAAGAGGCCAACTGGCCGCCAAGACTGAAATAGGTTACCATTAGTAATAAAAAGGAAATCCAACGGCTGAGTAGGAGTCATTACAACCGCAATGTGCCTTAGGCGTTGCTCCCCCCAATATGCTCCCTCATCGAACTAGCAACAAATCGACAACCACCCATAGAATGCTGACAAGTCTATGAAGCCACTAGTTGACGTTCAGCGTACTCAAGGTGCCAGCGAACTAAAAAGTATGCTGGCACGAGAACAAGGCGGGCCATGTTTGGGCAGTGCTACGATGACCACCAATACTGGATGGTCAAGAGCTCTAAAGGCACTGTTGACTTTCCTCATTACACTAAGTCTACAAGGACTGAAACGACCACGTCTACATGTCCGCTTTTCCCCCATTGCTTAGTACCTAACAATGAAATAAACCGGGAACAGATTGTCTAGGCTTCGGTAAAATATGAAATTACACATTAATGTTGGCTGTTTGTGATCTTCGTGGGCTGAAGAATGGATCCCGTGATTCGGCTGACCGAGTCCTGGTTTGAGCAATGCACACTGTTGCGTGATGAGTAAGCCGTTTCAAAGTACAATCTACATTTGCCAGATAATCGTGTCGTCTACGAGCAGCACTAAATACAACTACCACGCATGACTTAAGACTGCGTTTAATACAAACCAAGAGCATACGGAAGGTGGCTGCTGATCGTCATGATAATTGACTTGAGAGGGAAGTTGTTTTTTTTGCTATGACCAGGCATTAGCTCCGACTGCAGCTGTGATGTACATTAAAAACCCCAAAGTCACTGCCCTGAGAAACACCGTCAAATGAAAAAGCCTGCACTCTCTGGCATTTAAGTGATAGAGGCTTAAAAAATAACAAGACACCTGGTGCCTGGAAAGTTACCACATGGGGCCTCCACTATTTCAATCAAAATACTTATTAACCAGAAAGTATTATCTGGATACCTAGTCGCATCCTCATGCGGACTTTGTTGCGATGGGAATGGGATCCAGGAGGTTGCTTACTTCCTTGTGGAACTTAATTTGTGTCGTATCAAAAGATTATCCAAATCTTATTCTGTAAGTCTTGGTTTCTACTTGGAGACCTTCCAAATTTTCGCCAAGACACCACACTTAACTCAAAATGAGGAAATGTACAGTAGGGGTCACATATCCAACCAGCCGTATGATCGACCCAATGAACCAATCCTGGTTTGCTTTGAATACACAAACCTGAAATGGTAAAAGTCTACGCTGCCAACAATTGATAGCGGGTGTGAATGCCCAGTGTGTTTTGGCAGCAATATATTTAGGCGCATTGCCACAGTAAACTCAGACGTCTACCAACGAAGGAATAAGTCAGTCCTGAGACATGTAACTGTAGACCAAAATTAAATTAGCCACTAGCTAGATTATTATGTTTTCATACATCATGTAAATGGGCTCAAATTGCAAACTTACTTGAACATCATTCCAAGATTACAGATATTTTCAAAATTTCTTAAAAGTAGAGCAACGTGGTTCTCTAAAAGTCTTACTCAATTTGCTTGATTCCTTGTTTGTACAACATGAGTGGGAGCACGAAGCGAGGCTCGCATTACCGTGTGACACAAGGTGCCTTGTCTTATTTTCCCACTTTCGCTAGGATGTGCACACGTAAGCTAGCAAAAGCAAGTTTGCCATCACGATGAATACTAAGCCAGGCAACTGAATGAAAAATAACAAACGCATGGCAAACCAGTTTGATCCAGACTATTCCTCCCATGCCCTGACAAAAGCTCTTGGTGATTGCAATCATTTAAGGTAGTAGAACCGCCACTGTGAAACACTGACTCATAAAACGATGACTAGTTTTTTTTAAGTACATGTTCAAACTGCTAAGACACGCTCGTTAAACGTAGATACAGTAGACCGTTATCACATGCGGTTATTATCTCCCCTTAACGTGCACTCAGGAAATGAAATGCTGCAATCCTTAGTTTCTGGGCTGTTGCGTTTTCAGTACAACTATACTGCTTTATCAGAAAACCTTCAAACCTGGAATTTGCTTCATCGGATTCGGAAGCACCACGATTCGTGGCCTTGCTGAGGCCGCCCAGGAGACAACCCACCCTTGGGCAAAAATGAGATGGATTAATAACGGAATGATATAGAGCAATTTGATCTAACGTGGTTTCGAAGATGTTTTTGTCAGACAATAACATTGAGTAAACAAATTTGACAACAATATTAAAGTGATAGTGCAAACATATCCATTCTGGATTAATAATTGTTGGTGACACAAATGAGAACCAGTTCCTGAGTAAAATGGCCTAACTTCATTCGAGAAAAGCGCACGTTGCCGTTAAACCCGTTCAGCTAACATATTAAAAAGATCGACTTACACTCTTGAAGTCTTTTCGTTAATTAGTCAAGACCAAGCGCTATCGCTTTAACTGCACTTGAACAAAATAATACAAGAAAATTGAATCAGCACTGCTGTCCTAATAAGACAAGCAGATAATGCAGCTTACATGAGCCAACGATTCCGGCCTCTTGGTAAACAGTCACAAGGCAACACGTCTGACCATCAGGTGAGCTAAATAGTGTTCAAGACGTCGCACCACAATTAAGGGCCTCCTATATAATCTGATGCTAGGCGCATATACCAGTAGCTCATCTCTAGCGGATGATGAAAAACCGTCTTTGTGTCCTGCTGTCACCGGTTAATGTGAGTAAAAAACAGGCGACATTTATAATAAACTAAGACTTGATGTGTATTCTTGAGATGTTTAAAACCACAACATGGGCCGCTTCGTTAAATGGCACTGTGGAAAACACAAGCCACCGTTCTATTGTGAGGCTCCTTTAACGCAAAAAATCTAGAATACACTTCGTCACTAGAGCCTACGCCCAATCATTGTATTTACTCAACTGATCTTCGTTTAGTGACTTCCGTCATTTGTTAGTGAAAACATCAAACAGAAAATTGGCAGCAAGCGCCTTGCAGCAATGCACTATAAGTGGCTCCAGCGAACTAAACCTCCAGATGGGGCTAATCGAGGCCGACGTAGTATGCATTAGCATGATGACATTCGGCCGTTGCATGGTGGATAGGGCCTCTCATAAACACCTGGCTACTTCATCAAAATCGGAGATGTGTGTGCCTCCCTAACATCGTCCAAGTAGCGTACAGGTTCAAGTGAGTAAACTGGATTGGTTGCCACTATTCCAATAAATTCCGACCATTCTTGACGAGTGGGGCCTATGCCTATGTTGGCAATATTGAAAAACGGATTTGTTATTCCACCGGTCTATGACTTAAGTTGGCTAAATAACTACATGAGTTCGGCTATCTGTTTGGGCGTTCTAATTGCAAAGAGGGTCGACGAAAAATGATCTGTTCCGCGGAGCTTGTAAAAACTCTCAGACTAAATGTGACTACCTGAAAAGCAAGAAAGTACAATAAAGTAAACATGAACAAGCAAGTTCACGGCCTGAGTCCATGGAAACCAATAAACTGATCCGAAATCATCCCTCATCAACACAAGGTGAAAAATAACATTACGTGGTGCACACTAAAAGTAAGCTAATTAATGACATGCATGCATCAAGAGGATGCAGATGCCAATCGCCGGTAACTAGAACCTCATTAAAACTTGTCTTTAAATTCAAGTGAATTCAAGTTGGGTGACGCAATGAAGGCCTTTCTGCTGTATACGAATGGTTAGGGCGTCAAAATGAAAACCTTTGGAGTGAAAAAAAAAACCTTCAGAGACACCAAGTCAGGTAGAAGCAGCCTTCACATTTAGGCCAAATAATGTAGGTAGGAACCCGCTTGAGGATGATGACTACACCAATACACAGGCAGCTACGAACTGCGATAAAACAAAGCGACTAGGTTCTAAAAAGAGCAATCAGAAGTCCCATTGAGTAGGAATTATGTAGGAAGAACTAAACACCTCTTTGAGCCACATCGTTTCCTGGGACCACCGTGTTACCTGGGGCCAAACAATCAATTGTACTAATCGATTATTTTAGAATGATCACTTGAGCAACCTTAGAAATGACATAATGCGCAAAAAAATATGTCCAATAAAGTTTTCTTGCATCGCAACCATGGATGTTAGAGAGGAAATGCTTTAATTTCAAGCAGAATCGAAGTAACACTCAGACCAGGTAATTTTCATTTAAAGATACACCTAAGAGCACCTCAGGAGACTGCAAGGTGAAAATTTTACGGCGAAAATGTGCTACTCTCTTTGAACTTAACCCGGAAAAGTGAGAGAATAGAAGAGCAATCGTAGATCAAAAAACCAATTACTGCTCAACTGGATGAACGCAGTGCATTAAAAACCTACCGACTGGCCGCTTCAGGGACGGTTTCGTTAGTTCATTGGCAGTCTCGTAATTAACTGTAAAATCGAGAACTGGATATCCATTGTACAACTTCCTTGAAGTCAGTGAATCCACGTTCGGCAATGTAAATTGACGCAATGTCGTCTCATCAAAGTTTCCCGATGCTTCAATAAGCACGGATGGATGCGAAGACTTGAGCTGAGACGCGAAATTCCCTAGATCCTATTGAAAGTATGATTAAGGCCATAATTTTTTGTATCTACTTTTGCAGTGATGCCCTCAAATCGAAGACAGGTAGCTCCAGCCTCCGCCGCTGACTTTGCCCCTTGTAAGTTGTTGCATTCAACTGTAACCTGCGTATTTTTGCCAGCTTTCGATTTGATAGCAGCTATTGCCTCTTTAACACCACCGGCTGCCTCAATGTGTGACAGAGGCAACAGAACCGATGACAAATTCCTTGAACTCGGTAAGCCAGCAACAAATATGGCATATTCCTCAACAAGTGCGAAGCCCGGAGTATGTGTAAAAGGTGACACAAGTTCACCCTTCCACGAAAAATCACTAAGCAATTTTTTAAGCCTAAAAGTGAGGTTCGAATGGATTATTTGACTACTACCTTGATGCAAAAGTTGCAATGCTTGATGCGCGCGACAGGATGTTTTTGATCAGGAGCTCGCCGTGAATTAAATCAGCAGTTGCTCCGGTGATTGATGCCACTTTTGTAGGCCCTTGTGGAAGCAGATCTCCCTCCTTAACGTGCCACTCAACAGTACAGCCTAGATGCTCAATAAGTGCGTCGACGAAAGGGACGCCTGCCAAAACACCTAGGTTTGGAGAAGAAACTGTTAAAACAACACTCAGCAAAAACAAGAACGCAGAAGTAATGATAATCCACATTTGTTGTATCAAAACCACTATTTTTACTTAGAATATAGCCGTACGTAAATGCGGCAACACTCGATTCACAAAAAGAGAAGGATAACTAACCTGAAGTCTTCATCGAAACAACAAGGGCAGTCACCGAAGACTCGATGTCATACGCTGGCAGGTTGTATGCTGATTCCTCTGATAGCCATGAACACACCAAGTTCTTAGCAGAATGACGACTTACAGTGTGCATAACAAAGAATTTACGAGAAAGGGAAGATGGCGGGTCAACTTAGTATATTAAAACATTTTTCTGTAATGAATCTTATTCATCATAACTTACGATTACTTGCAAATAACTAACATAAATAGCCGTCGACTATATATTAAATTTTCACCTTTTATTAACATAAATTTAATCAGATTGTGTGGCAGCCCTCATGATGACAGTTTTGTGAGGCACCTAGTATATTACCACAAACCAAAAACTATTAGCTTTTTCCTTCCGTAAACCTGAATATTATAATTCATCATCCAACGCTTTTCTCTTCAGCACTCTGATGTCTTGTGTAGTAGTTTAATGCCTTCAGCATTTCGCCAAAAGATTTCTGCCACTTAGTTAATGTTATTAAGAAAAATTACAGTTTGAGTGATACTGCTCCCTTTACTAAAATGATGTTATTCGTGTAAGAGGGAATCTTTTAGCATGTAAATAAATTTACCGACACATAATTTTCATAAAATATTCGATGTATTTCGATTTCAAACTCGTAATTCATGCGGTTTTTCCATTATTACCTAGATACTGCCGATGTAAAATCGGGCAAACTTCTATGCAGAGTGATAAAATTTTATTGTAATAAACCATTTTGTTAAATTACTTATAATAATTTTGATTCATTTAATATTTGCTTTCCCTGGGAACTGTTTGAAGTTTTTCAAAACATCCGAAACGATTTCGAGCATTTAATTTGTTGATGCAGGATTATAAACAGGAACTACATGAAGTAGTGTCCATGTGTGCGACTGCTTATACTTGCTTTGTTCTTTTACTGCAGCCTTGTGCTTGTCAATTTTTGAAGGCAAATAGAGAAATATAAGTGTTTTTTAAGCGAAAGTGGCTGAAGTACAGGAACACACTGCATGTCTCCGTCCTTAAATTTGCAGGCGTGAACTGATGGCATGAACACTGTCGAATTTTCATTTCTGACTTCCTTAGCTGACTATGTTGGAAAAGGTACAAAAGAATGCCGAGTTCATGACATAATAACAATGGAAAAGTCAAAAGTGAATTTAAACGACTAGGCGAATGTCTAGATTTTATTGTTTACTTATAAAATGTTTTAAAATTTTAGACGCAAATTTACTAAAAACAAGCTTTATCTTCTTGGACTTAGATTAGCCCTGAGTTTTTTAAATGAAAAATGGGTATTTGCATAAGTCATTAAATCAACCAACAGGAAAGCTATTTTTGATTATTGCATGCTATTTTTACAAGTGTATTTAATCTCATTATAATTTTTTTATGATTGACTGCACAGTGGATTTTCTAAGTTTGAATTGCATGATATAGCTAATTTTTTATTTTTGATTACTAAAAATTCATAACTGAGAGAGTTATCTAAATTATTACGTTACATATTAAGAAAATTTAATCAAAAGCCAAAATAGTCCCTCTTTCAACATTTTCACCATTAGCTAGAGAGAAACGTCGATTCATCCGTCGTAGATCATTTACCTACATCGCTACTCATTTTGATCATTTGGTTCTTTAGTTACTAAAATTTTAATACTTCACATAAACTGAATTTATCAACAATGTCTTTATATATGCTAAACTTTAAAATCAAGCATTTAACATTAACACAACTAGACTGAGCTATTTAATTATGGGTCATGTCTTTACAGTTTAAAGTCCTCATAAGCTTCCCACATATATATAAAACCATAATCTGAACACAACAAATACGCGACGTCCCCGTATGGCTCAAAGACCTTAATGAGGGCCTTCAGCAGTGCTTTTCACAGACCATAAATATTTTGATTTCCATTGCCACATATTCCATGACTTCTTTGACTAAAAACAGACTCTAAGAAAAAATAACATCCTAATTCTAACTATCATGACAACTTTTCCGCATCAATTTAAGTTCCTTGCAATTTTAAAGGAGACAATATTTTGCAATGGCTGTAGGACTTTTAAAATGCTCTCAGAACTCGTGATACCTCCACAGGGATGCTAAGCCCGAAAGACAAAACCTAAACGTCCATGTTTGGTCCGTCAACGACTTCTCCAACGTTAGTGCTCAAACGAAATCCGCATAAGCTGACTATTCCTCAACTGGGACAGGAAAAGGAGGGTTTTTTGTCTCAGGCAAGGGCCGAGACAGCGTTCTGATTCTCAACTTTAATACAAGGCATGCGGTCTTGTGTGTATCTCAGAGTAAAAGTTCACTTACGGAAAAAGAGCCAATAAAAAGCTGATGGCTGAAATACATGAAAAGGTTAAGAGAAAACTATAAAATTGTCAAAAGCTTAAGTAAGCTTAAGTGATTGATGGCCTACAACATTGCCAACGATTTATGAAGGGCAACCGCATTGATCATGACTACGGTTCGTCCCTGAAGTGTGCAATTAATGACCATGTGGGATGCATGATATCTTACTACTTTCTTTTGATGATGTTTAAAGGGCCAAACAATAAATCGCACATGCTTCTGTCGGTCAGTCTGTCTGCTATTCAAGAGGTAATGTACTGAACAGTGGCGCAACTCAGTCCCTTCATCAAAATTCGACGGTTAAGAATACTAAAACAGATAAGGCGGTTCGAAAATAGTATATACTCAATTTCCTTATTAAAAGAGTAAAAAAATTGAAAATAAGTAGAATACTATTGAGAAATTTCTTACTCTCCTATCTTGGTTCCAAAATAGTTTTGTCATTGTCCCTTGTATAAATGAACTGACATATGAATTACATTCACTATGTCAGTTCTGTTATTCCGCTGTTTTATCTCTGGTTAACACAAGGCACAACGTTCAATAGTTGATAACCAGTTATTACGGCTGCACATATTTGTTCCATTTATTTGCTGCTTAATTTTGGTTATCGTGATATTACTTGTTTTTGTTTCCATGCATTTGTTGCTGGACGCTCTGGATAGTCTTTTATTTTACTTTGACCCAAGGTGTGTGCATCAGATCGCATGCTATAATTTTTTGAAGGCAGGTATGGTTCTCATAAATCGATTCATCGATTAATCTTGTTATCAGTATGCACAAACTAATGTCATGTTAGGATGCATACTCTTTTACGATTTTTATGTTTACCATGTGTTGTTTTTGTAGCCCAGTAGAAGCAAAATCCAGACTAACCCGGTTACCCGTAAAAGTGTTAAATTTGCTCTTTGAATGCTAATTTATTCGTTTTTGAAGTCGTATGAAAGAATGTAATGGACTAAAATTATGTGAAAATGTAATATACTATAAGGTATCTTGCTTTATAGACATCTATTTGAGTCGAAATCAATTTGACAAGTCGCAATTAAAAAGACTAAAATTATATATTTTATCCCTGGGATAAGTTGATGGGTTTCGCATGTGTAGAGACACCTACAGAACTTATACTTTCAACAATTAATGGTGTGAAAAATAAGTGTCTGCTAGACCTTCAAACTCACAGTCAGGTACACACGGCTTGAGTTAGACATTTATTCAGACTTTCTTAACACATGTGTGCTGTTCTAAACAATGCACTAGATATAGACAGCAAAGGTATCTTTCAAGTATGTGTATAGCAGAGGCTTACTTTTCTAATTTTTCTGAGTGCAGTCATATCTTGAGCAAATTAAAAATGTTGTAAAATGAAGCCATTACATGTAGACTAATGATTAATCTAACTTAATGAGCAAATGTAAAAATTTCCAAGTCAATCGGGTTCATGGAAACATCTGCAACAACTATATGAATATCAAGGGTAAATTTTTACGCTGAAGTGTTGTGAATAAATATTTCAAAGTGTTAATCAGAGACCATAAACAAGAAAATAGACGTATTTAACTCCAATTTAATATCTTGAAAATTCATTTAATCTTGAATGACGCTCACTTAGCGACAACCCGAGAACGTGCCGAAGCACCCCAACATAAGAATGAAGATGAAGTTGATTTGGGATTACTTGTGTATCTAGCAATGTAAAGGCCAAAGCATTAAATTTTAGTGCGTTTTCAGAAGAAAAAATGTAACAGAATGCTATACATTTAACTTTAAACCACAAACTTATCAAACTTGTAGTGTTTTTAGGACCATGAAAAATTATTAGCCACTTTCTTAAGAAAAACTCACGTAAGATTCTGAATTGCCAACGACTGGTTAAAGTAAAATTTTGACTTGTTTCTGCACAGATGTCCCCAACAGACAGGGCGGTCTGCTGCTAAAGTGCCTATACATTTTAAAATTTTTAGTTAACAGGTGTAAAGCTATCACAAATGCATAACCATATGGGTGGTTTTTATTGGATTATTTTAGTCTGAAGTATTTCAAGCAGATTACTGGTCAACTACCTTTCCGCTGAAGGTCATTAGCCCAGTCACTTTGATTAAAGATGGCTGACGAGTACGAAGGTGCCGATTTTGAGTCGGAGGAAGAACCTTTTGAGGAGGTTATCGAGGATGAAGTTGAAAGTAAAACAGGTAGACACGTCTGCTGGCGAATATCTAGCCCTAATTTAATCTCTTGAAGTAATGTCATTTTTGTCTGCCTCCCCCGTGTTTTTGCACGCTGTTGGTATTGCTTTTGTTGTTGTCGGGATGACTTGCTATTATTTTCTTTAAATTCTAACTTTCAGTTTATTAAATCGACCTGTATTAATTTTTTTCCAACTGACAATGTATTTCGTGGAATTTGAATATCAGGCATCCGAAGCCTTCGTACGTTAGTGTCATGTATACCAATCGATGATCCTAAACCTTTGACGTTAAATCAACTAATTGAGTCCACTTTTTGGAGATTAAGGCAAGTGATTGCCTCGTTTTTGTGTGTCGAATCAGCGGTTTAAGACGAGTTTAGGTACCTTTCACGCTTACCATGTATTAGTGATACAACTCATTGTTTATCTCTTCAGTGTTGTAATTATAAGGAAAAAAACATTTTCTATGACACACACCAAATCAATTTCTCCAACGTTAAGATCAGCCTTCGTAAATTTCTTGTCTAATTATTCGCTGTGTTCAACTAAAATCTTCAATTCTGCTTTCGATTTTTAATTGTTTCTATTTGTACACTAATAGAAATGTCAGTTATACTATTTCTATTTACTGCAGTATTCGATGTAAAATTTAAATCGAATTTACGATTGTTTCGTCTATCCTGTTCAATAATAACAGTTGCTTAATGTAATGTCGTAACCCTCGTTCACTATTTGGATGGACATTCGCACATGCATGAGCTAAATTGCAAGATCTCTAGTGCCATATCACGTTTCTCAAAAAATACTTATGCTTTCCTAGAGAACGTTACCTACGTAACCTCAGGCGAACCCCCACGAGCTCAACCCGGAATGAATATGCCACCTCCCGGCCCAGTTGAAAAAAGCAAGCGCATCACAACGCCATATCTGACCAAGTACGAACGAGCTCGAGTCCTGGGTGCTCGAGCGCTTCAGCTCTCAATGTCGGCGCCTGTCATGGTCGAACTAAGTGGCGAACGTGATCCTCTCAAGATCGCTGAAAAAGAACTGCGTGCCAACAAAATCCCAATCATTATCCGACGCTATCTACCCGATGGCAGCTTTGAAGATTGGAATTTGGATGAACTGATCCTCGTAGACTAAACGCTGCTTATTGTGTCCCCTGTGAATAAATCCTTTGCCCCAGTGTAATTTTTGCTATTTTTGCCATTAAATTAGAGTCTGGTTGATTAGGTTATCGGCCCCAGGCACAGCCGAATTGCAACTTTTTTCGACACTCAGCCATGGGGCCCCCGAAATGATCACCCGTGAATCGCGGACTCGACCAACCTTAGGCAGCGGTTTCATTTCCTTCGATTGTTGCTTAGATGTCCGAAGAGGCGTTTGGAATCGTTAGCAAGTGGTCCCCCATCCCCCCGGTTTATATGCGTTTTACTTCAAAAGCCCTGCAACTCCGTGTCGCCTCATACATGTTTTCCTAGCGCTCTTTTGCGTGATTGGATGAGCAACGTGACCTCGCTGACACCAACGATGTAACGCCGTGACCTCAAACACGAACTAAACGTGGAATAGTTTTCAGAAGTGTTGATTTGATCGGATCGAAACCAGAAAATTCAGTTGAAATTATGTATATATTTGGGTACATCGGCATAAAAAAAGAGAAGGGTTATACTTGTGATAGGGAATTCATGTGAATTGGCCACGTCGGTACGAAGAAGAAAGCTTGTTTCTAGCATAAGAGAATGCTGTGATTTTCGCGTTTAATAATAACAATTAAAATGCGAGGGCGTGGGGTTTGTAGCGAGCGGCATGACTCCATACTCTGCTCTGGCGGGCAAACACCATTTCAAGACTTCTTTGCCCAACTGGGGCGGGAGCCAGATGTGGTAGTTCTTGAGGCTTCGAATGCAGCCACACGCGCCGCTATCGATCCACGCTTTATGGGCACTGTCTGGCCGGTCGAGTTGGCCGCAACATCCTCCTTGCTCTCACTGTTCAAGGATTTGCTCATCAACGCGTCCACACCGTCCCCCTCGGCGTGAGGACTTGTTTTTCGCGTAGACCACCAGGCGGTAGGCTTTGGCGCAGATTCGGATCGTCCAAGGTCAGCGCTCGCTGAGGTGGACGTAGTTAGAGGTTTCTCCGTCGCGGGCGGTTTCGGCGACTCCGATAGTAGGGGAGTCAATTGAGCGCCCACGCGCTTGCGTACAGTGCCTCCGGCCTGCTCGGCAAATGTGTCAGCGGCGTTTTTGGCCGAACTAGGCGAAACGGCGGAAGATTCATCGGTGTGAGTGCTGGTCGCACGGCTCCAGCTGGACGATTGTGGACGATCTGGGAGACCAAGAACGAGATCGGGCGCGTGCTTGGCTGCAGATGGAAGGCGCATTTTCTGTTCGAGTTCTCGGGAGCGCTGTTCGGCTGCCGAGTTGACGTCGAGACCTTGGTAACGATCCTGCTCCAGACACGCCAGGCCTCGCATCACCTGAATTTCAGAGAATACCACGCTAGAGTCCAATGGAAATTGTGCCTACAAGTAGCGTGTAACGTGCATACCTCTGCGAGAGCAGAATCCACGTCAGCTAATGAACCGTTGCCAGTCGGAAAATGATCAGAGGCCCCACCACCCTCAGTATCCGGAGACCTCAATGAGGGTCTGAGGGTCGCCGGTTTGTCTTCCGGAAGGGTTTCCAGACCGGTTGTCGTAGAGGCGGGAGTTGTGGTCGAAAGCAACAAGTTTGGAACTCCGCCCCAAGAGCAACGGTTCGCAACGTGCCGTTGAGGCGACACAGAAGCTGGGCGGTTGGCCAGTGATCGGGTCATCACCGAGACAACGGGAGAGGAACTGGAGCCGCCGTTCTGATCCTCACTCGCCTTCTTCGTGGAGCTGCATGCAGACTTGACGGGCAGGTGTGTGGATCCCAGTGTCTCCTGATTTACGCTGCCGACGTCATTGGTGGGGCTCGAATCCTTCTGGTCGACTTTGACAATGGGCTCATCGGGAGGACAGTTCTCTTTGACGCCTTCTGCCTTCTCGATCTTAAGATTTGCGAGGTGTTCGAGGGACTCGGATGCGATGGGCGTTTCAGGCGATTTATCTGCATGAAATCGGTGGTTTTACTGTTGCTCTATGCACTGCTAACTAAACTACATGGCGCAATCAAAACACCACGAGACGTCTCGCCTTTCATGACATAATAGCATCGGATTGTCAATCAAAGCCGACGGATCACCAACTTTCCAAGACCGGCTAACTTACGGGCACACATGAGAGGTGATATTCGTTGTGATCACATTTCTATGAGTTATCAGATCACAAGACTCGTATTAACACGAAGTTTACCTTCTTGGCCACACGATTCTTTTTCTTTCACACAAACTCTCATTACTATCACCCTACTCACCTTCACACCATGAACGTCAAGTATATTCGATGAGCATTTATTAGTCGAATTTCGCGCGCGCACCCAAAAAATGCGGACAACCAATCAGCTTTCAAAGGTCACCAGCCTGCGTTCGAGACCCACATCTGGGTCTCCAAGATCAGCACCAGAACGAAGTTTAAAAATACTGATTTCAAAAAAAACAAGACCGAGGTGGTAGATTTGCTTAGTGATGAGGACAGGTGAGAGCGAAACCAAGAAGGGAATAGGTGTGCAGTGATTCGTGTTGATTGACGTCCACCAATCCAGTCGTCACAGGCTTCTCCACGCTGAGCTCCTTTTCACGGTACCACTATCGATCGTGCGAAACCGTCTGATCACTCATTTGGCAGTTCAAGCATTTGCAAATTTTAAAGTTTATCCCGACTGTATTGGTCAACCTCATTCAGACGCACAGTGGCGCGACAAATAACTATGTCGAGATGCCAAGTAAACGCTTGTGCCACTGCCGTCTCTGTACTTCTTATCTTTGCGGGTATCAGCGGCCGGGGCCTGAAACAACCGTGTCTCAAGTGAGAGAGAACGACACAACAGCGGAACGTTTGAGATCGGAACAAGCGATCAGCACTCACCGGAGATCGTAGTGGGAGGTAAGGCGGCTGCCGGCGAAGCGTCTTGCGTGGCGCCGATCAGGGTGGATTTCCTCGGCGAGGCATCGGCGGCGGCGGCGTCGGGGGAGCAGGAGCGAGGGCTGCCCGAGTACGTCTTCTGCAGACCGTCGTCGACGCTGCTCTCGTCGGTGGCAGCCGTGGCGACCGTCAGGGGCTTCACGTAGAGGTGCGGCACCAGGTACCGCGGCCCCTCCTGGTCCGTGGCGGCCAGCTGACCCTCCCACCAGTGATCGTTGAGACGGCGGTAGAGCAGGAGGTCGGCTCCCCGGGCGAAGGAGAGCTCGCGGGCACTCGCTCCGGCAAAGTCGGCCAGCGCGATCGCGTGCGTCGGGTGACAATCGAAGTCTACAAAAAAGGCGGCGCCTTCTTCTCTAATTTCTTGCATTCCCCCGATTGGAGAGAGAAGTCAAACCGATTCTAAAGCCACTGGCCTGTTTCTAACATCGCCTTTTGCTCAAACTAACTTCTGAGCGTGAGTTTTTGAGGGCTCCTTCTGACAGAGGGGGCCGGCGCGGTCAAAAATGCTTGCATTTCCACCACACTCAGCAATTGGGTCGTTCGATTTCCTGACATAATGCCCCATATTTCACATTAGCGCGGACGTTCAGCCTCGATTATTACTCTGTGTGATAACACCCACGTAAGTCTCGACGTTTCAACCAGAAAAGCTACAGAATTGAAAAAAAAAACCTACCGTGTCTTCCAAACGCGCTCCACAACACAGATCACCTGCGAAGGTGTGCATCCCTGGGCAACCTACGGGGCCTGTTATGCTCTACACGCGAAATTTAGCGGCCAAAATTAAAAAAACTTCGCTTTTGATGATGCTGATAATGATAAGTGAAAATAAATGCGGTGATTGAGCCTTTGGGGATCTACCGAAGAAAAAATTGCGATACCAAACGCAATCAACATGAATGCAAGCGCATTAACGGCTGCAGTCGAAGATGCCTTGAACTGACTCAGGCCAGCGGTTAAGTTGGTGGCATTTACTGAAAATTTCCCGACGAAAGAGGATGCAGCTTCACTTTTTATCCATTAACTAGCATCAGAAACTGTTAGACAGTCGATATTTCAAGAATCACCCACATTACCACGAGTTAAGCACAAAATGCAAACGACTGAGATGAACTTTGAGCTTTTTATTTCAAATTTTCGGCTGACCTAAGCCACAAAGAGAAACAGATTTCGTGTGCGCGCCCCGCCTTGATTGGCTGGGACGGGTGCGCGGGCATTTAAAAAATTCGGACAACCAATCAGCTTTCGTGGTTTACCACATGGAGTGTGGCGCTCCTGCGGGAGGTTAGGCCAAATGGGGTAAAATCAGCCTCCACACATGAATGGGACGGAGTTTAGTCAAACGCAACACACAAAAAAAGAGCAAATTGTGACACGTGTTTCGTTTCAGGGCAAGTTATGATTGCGGGCGAGTAAAAGCGGCGGTCTGTATGGATTCATCTAAAGTTAGTTGTTGGGTTAAGAGATTAGCCAAGGGGGCAGGGGGGAAGGAGAAGAACAATAAATGCGTTAGAAAAAAGCAATCATATAATCGTTATTTGTTATATACGGAAAATAAGTGTAACTACAGAATAAACTTGTGAACAGTATTCGTCGTATTTGTGCAGTATTGAAATGCCTACTCAATATGTCTAAGTAGAAATTTATGTCTACCTTCCATTTCGGAGTCCGACTCGTCATCGTTCTCGTCGTCGAGGCCATCGTCGATGGAAAGTTGGTCCATTGAGGAGTTGAACCCCCTGGTAACATACAGAAAAAAGCATGACATGCATCGAAACACGGCCGTCGTCGTGAACACAAGTGACCACACAGTGTCGCATCGGACTCACGTCTCATGAACCGCGCCGATATTTCCTTCCGACTTGCGACAAGACTTCGGCGCCGCAGGCCTAGACACCCGTCGTTTCACGCCAGCGTCGAGACGCGTCAACGACTCGATCCCCTCCCCCTCCTCCGCCAGCTCCTCGGCGGTGGGCTGGTGGCGCAGACTGCCGGCCTTCTTGACGGCCTCGCAGGCGATGGCGCGCGGCAGCACGGGTGGCACGGCGGAGGCGTAGGCGGCGAACTTCTCGTAGTACGCGCCCGGCACCGTGGGGTCGAAGATGCGACGGTGGTGGTTGATGCACAGCTTGACGACGTCGTTCACATTCGACTGGTACTCCACCTGGTCGAGGTCGGGTGGTGCGGGCATGAGGGTAGGGCCGAAGCAGATGGCCAGGTTGTAGGGGTCCATCATGTTCTCGTCGGAGTACTCGGCCAGGCTGCAAAACCACCCAAGTCCCACTTACAACCTCACTTTTAGACCAATCAGCGAACGGGTAAAGACAACTGCAGATAGGGGTCAGTCAGTTGGTGTCATGTCACACTTTGAAATTAAAACATGGGCATACGCGCCTTGTAGACGACGTTTATCAAGACATCCACGAATTGCTCTTCTCGATGAGCTGATATGTGTCCTACTTACAACCTCACTTTTGGACCAATCAGCGAACGAGTGAAGACTACTGCAAATAGCAGTCAGTCAGTTGGTGCCATGTCACACTTTGAAATTAAAACATGTGCGTACGCGCCTTGTAAACGACGCCTATCAAGACAATCACGAAATGCTCATCTCGATGGGGTGACATGTTAGGTGTGGGACTTAATTTTTACAGATTTTTCTTCGAGCCTAAAGTTATACTTTCAGAAATGATATATTTTCACGGTGTTCTGTGGTTTTGAAGGGATCGGACCAAAGGTTTCGGAACTCCGAACGGCAAGTATACGTGATTCACATAAGCCCTCAGAACGGCCAAGTTTACTATGGTAACTGATAAACACCACATTCAATGACACCGCATTCTAAACGAATTCCAACAAGGACAAAATGCTTCTAAAGCACGGGAAGCACTTTGTAGTGTTCTTGGTGCCGATGTTGTGGCTTCTGAAGCGTGTATTTAGTGGCACAAACGTCTTAGAAGTGGGGAAGTCAAGCTTGGTGACCAGCCGCGTCTCACACAGCAGTCTCGAAAATTTGAATATGCGGAATTGCAGGATTTACAGGATGAAGACTCAACGCTAATGTAGCAAGAGCCTGTAGCTCAGTTGGGAGTCACTAAAACAGCTATTTTCTAAGCGTTGATACCAGATGGGAAAATGCAAAAACCTGGAATTTGGATCCATCTACGTGTGTTGAGCGAGCACCACCTAGGTCAATACATGGACACACGCTGTTCACTGCCCGTGCGCTGGCAACAAGCAGTGAATGAACTTCTTGTGTAGAATTGTGACAAGTCATACACACCAAAAGAAGCATTAGCGTCCACGCCTTATAAACGAACTGCCCATTTCAATGGGTTACCAAGAATTCGAATATTACTCATACAGAGCAGAGTACAGACGAATACGACGCAAAATTATTCTCCAAAGACACTACCCAACAAGACTACGCAAAGAATGCGCACTTACTGGTGAAGGAATGCAAAGAGATAGCGCATTACAATGAAGACGGCGTGGGAGAGTCCGCTGGAGATGATTGCTGCGAGTCGATCCACACAGTCATCGGAGTCGCGGCCTAAACAGAGAAAAGAGAGGCGCACTGGGGTGTGCTGCGACTTTCGGCTGCAGAGCGTCAAGTGTGAGAAAAGCAATTAAACGGTGATATTGGGTCTGGAGGGAGAGTCCACGTTCCTAACCTGCACAAACGACGAATCCCTACGCACAGGGATCTACTACGATTTACGCGAAGGAGCGGCCAAACGCTGCTACCTTATTGGCTAGAACTGAGTGAAGCGATGTGGTTTTAGCGAGGTGTCGCTTTCAACTGTGTTGGTGAAGGCGTGAATTTAAAACAAAAGAGAGGGGACATTACGGTCTCGGACGGCTTTGACGAGTTCCACGAAGACCTCCTTGGGGAAGGGCGGTTCGCCGAGCTCACGGAAGTAGAGCTTGAGTAGGCCCGCGGTCGAATTGATGTCGCGCGCGTCGGAAAGACCCACCAGCGGGTCTTCGCCGTATTCGAAGGCCTCCTTGAAGTTGTTTATCTCCGCCTGGCTGCCAGGAACTCGAAAGATGCCCTGATGGTGCATGCCTAGAATCGATGGCAGACCAAGTCAATTTCCGTGCAGTAATCCAACGCAACGCTTACAAGACAACGCAATTCGTGTGTGTGTGGTTATTTGGCAAGATTGTGACAATTTTGACCCATGCGTCGATACACACTCGATGTTCAAGTAAACTGAACATTGATTATGATGACACAACCGTTTACTTCAGAGCTCAACCAAGTTGGTGTCGTTGTGTCGTGTGTGGGGTTTGCACATGTGTATTTATACCTCAGATATGTGAGTAATAGCTGCGCTAACATCGAGACCTAGGTGTGAGGATACTCCAAGATAAACATCCGTGTGAATGATGGGGGAGTTGAGGATCCACGCGGCTGGCGATATGATACGAAAAGGGGAACCCTGTGTCGGAGGATGGAGCGACTGGTTTAAGGAGTGTATATAAACACGATTCACAACACATTGTTGGACACTCCGGAGAACAATTTCATTAAATAGGTTAAGTCGCAGGGGCCTGAAGGATGGGATATGCGAAACAGCCACTAAGTCTTACCGTAGAGGTTGATTACGCGAATGCACGAGAGCACCACACGCGGTATCTGCTCGCCGGTCTTCGTCACGTACTCGTCGATGCTGCCGCCGAAGAGCTTCGGTCGCCCGACGTTGGGCACCTGGAGGACGCGGCGCGGGGCCATTTTGACGAGCGCCGCGGGCTGCAGGGCGGCGCCGGCGGGAGTCGTGAATGGGGGGGTGGTGGGTAGGGGGGCGCCAAGGGGAGGGCACGACTCAGTGGAGGGCGTCGACGCGGTGAGCAACGACGCCTGGTCGCCGTGGACGGCGGGGACCGCGGACAAGAACGGGGGACGCTGCAACAGGGGAGGCTGCACGGACGAGGGAAGCTGTGGAGGGTTCGTTGACATCGGCGCCTTCGACGACGACGACGCCTGGTGGGTGGCCAGGGCCCGCTCGATTTCAGCCAACTTCGCCTGCATCACGACGCAACGATGCATTTCCTGAGTGTACGCGGAGAAGCGCTACAAGTGATACAAACAGCTGCACAATCACTCCAAATACCCTAAACGATATCATTCGATAACGCGGCAGTAGTTGAGTGCATACTGACCTCCATGTAGATGCGCTCCTCTTTAATCCGCTGTTCTCGGTAAGTGTTACGCATCGACAAATAGAGGCCGGGTTGGATTTCAGCGCCTGAAGACCCCACCGAGGCCTTGGATCCCATTTCCTCAGGAGGAAGGCTGGAGGAAAGGGGCGTGACGCCGACGCCACCACTGCCACCGCCCTTGTTCAGTGAATTGAAGGAGGCCGATGAGGCGGGCGCGGTTGTCGCGGGACTGGTTGGTGGCTTCGGCGTCTCCCCGTTGACGGGGCTGGTGGATCGACGCCTCCGTCGCTTCCCAGACAAAACGGAACTCGCAAACAACTCGGAGACGTCGTAGTCATTCTGGTTTATCAGCACCAACAGCTTCTTCTCAATCTACGAGGATGTGTGGATAAGCCTTTGTAAGTTTATATAAAAGACCTCTAAAGACAGCAACTTTTGGAGCAGATTCAGCTCTGTAAAATAAACTGGATCGCTTTCCATGAAAGATATGCTGAGTAGACCTCCGTGACTTCAAGATTTCTCAAGCACAACCACGTCTATCTACTATGCCGTTCCTGCAGCAAGCTCGGGTCTATCGTTAATTCACAATTGGGTGGCCATCGACACGCACAGGAGACCTCACAGGTCGAAGCAGTTGTCCAAATCAGGACCAACGCTCCCACACAACCCACCCAAGCCCAGGCAACCAATCAGAACGTAGCACACATTATAACGAGGACACAGCCAATAGAGATGAAAGTCTACCGAGGGAAGAAGGCAATGCATGCCGCAATGCAACCTTTACGAGAATGTAAATCAACAAGAACAAGAGGAGCATCCCACACGGAAAGTGTGCGCACGGCGTTGCTACTTTCAGGAGTGCTACCCTATTAATTATCAGGGATTTATAAACACCGCATAGTTTGTTGACACAGCATTTCAAATGTCACAAGAATTCCATGGAGCGAATTGCGCACTTCTGGCTACAGCTAATACCTCATTGTAGCAAATGTGCATACAGTGGGCGTTCATAGAACGGATGGCGCCGAAATACTACTTGACAAGATAGCTTTCGTGTAGGCGGTAGGAGATGACACGGCTAGGTCTAAACACGAGTTCAGTTGAATTGAATGTCCAAAACTACATGGCAAATAAACAAATTCCACTTCACAATGGAGAGGCCACTTGAGAGCGTACATTCGTGCGGCCTTAGAGAGGATAAAAAAACCAGCACGTACGTCTTGAAGGTTATTCCAGGCCTCTTCCGTTGAGGTTTTGAGTTGTTCGAGGTTGGCTCTGAGATCGGCAGCGGTGGCTGCGAGGCTATCACGAAGAGGGGCAACAGGTGACACCTCCGATTCCTGAAGCGGAGTGGCGGAGCGAACCGTACAGCAGGTGTGGCGAGGGGGGTAAGGATTCGTGCAAAATGGGTGCAGAATGGAAGAACAACATAAAAATCAATTCAAGTAAATACATGATAGAATTTTCATGCATTTCCAAAATCTCAATCGTTACATGCACAAGACAATAGGAGATGAGTGGCATACAATTACGCGTGCCCAAGGGCAGTAGACGACGTGAGCAGTCGAGTGGACCAATGAGCAGCCGCCTTAAGGCGTTACCGCGCGTTTAGGCTACCGACTAGACAACAATGCGCTCCGTTACCGTTTGACTGGTGTGATGCGGCCTCGCGACGATCTCTAACACACCAAAACGACTTCTATCCGAAATGTCAACATTGGGCTAAAATATCCCGCTGAATTTAATGCTGTGTTTACAGTTAATCATTTTGATGCTGAATTGTGAATACATGTGGCGTACAACAGCAAAAGAGGTTGTGACATGACACGGTGATGGACTACAACCTAAGCAGCAAATAAGTAACAAATTGCTATGGATGACACAATTTTCTTTGTAAATTTAGAACCCCGTGGGACGTTTTAGGGTCCTCGATCAATACAGAATCGATGGGTTTTAGGGGTATCATCGTGGAGTTCAAATTTGTGAGGTATGACAAGAAAGAAATTTTGTGGATTTTCGTAACTGCTGGGCCGAGGAATGGGTCATTGTGGTTTATAATTTGCATAAAGATGTGATGACAATTTGAAAAAAGTGCCAATTGCCATGTGCAATAAATCGTAATGGTCGCTTGGGAAATTTGTTTTGCAAATGCAATCGATCCCACAACGATGGTTTTCACGCCTCAATAAACGGTAACTGCAGCTTCACTGACGACGACGGTTTCGGATGCAGATCAATTGAAACAACTTTTTCGCGAAGATCGAAACCAACCAACCAACCACTTGTACAAACAACCACCTTAAATCGATGGAAGAATTTTTAAAACTCTGCAGTCGGGTTCCACTGTCTTTGAGCGAAAACAACGAACTACAGTGTTCTACGATGGTCGCCGCGATGCGTTTCCTCAACAAGGCTCCACTTGTTCGAAACATTTTCGACGCAACAAACCGACCTATTCGACGCCACAGCGTCCCTTCACACCACAGTAAGGCCCGCCAGGCTGCTAACATAATCCTTCACTAAAGAGTCCTGATACTGCTCTCATAATCTACAAACTTGACTCCGTCGAATTTCCACGTTCACATTAGACCAGTACTGACACGCAATTTTAGACAAATGTCCTTTGTGAAAACTCAGAGATCGCGCCAAAAGGTTCCTCGATCTTTGGAAAGAAGTGGTGAATAACAATCGAGAATGCATACTTTAAGTTAAATTATCTTTTTTACCTTCTTCAAAAAACCTCAAAACAAGCACAAATATGCATTCATCAATCAAGTACAGCCTGCAAAACGGCCCTTAGTTTGTTGATTGATGCGATGATGATTGGTAGGCGACCATAAGTGCGCTCCTGTTCAAACAGTGACCAGCTAACACTTAATGGCAATCAGCAGGGACTCGAACTTTGAACCCAAGTTCACTAGACAGTAAACGGGTGAATTCTCTGCTCGCCATCAACTCCCACCGGAAATAAATGTGAAGGCGACTCACACAGTCGTCTTTGAAGGGCACAAAAGTGAAGGTGGGTGGTCTGGAGAAGGCGACCTCGTTGCGCCGGAGGAAGGTCGCCTTGTCGGCGCGCCAGTCGAGGGCGGTGATGTTGCGGTTGATCATCTCGCCCACGGAGCCGTGGCAGTTCTTGATGGCCTCCTCGCAGCTCAGGTGCATCATGGCAGCGCGCGCCAGGCTGTTGTGCAGACCGCAGCTCATGCACTAGGAAGCAGACAAAGGAGACCGCTTGATTCCCCTCAAATCACGTCGTTTTTAGACCAAAAAACCAACACACACAAGGCTAGACAATAGGCAATTATCCCAGAAGCCTGAGGTCAAACGGATTACAGTGACACAGCAACTCAGCACAAACAACTAACGTCTTCCTAAGGAGTTTATTGCGCCTAACTGAACTAAGGACGCGTCACTAATGGAATTGTCTGACAGAGTTTAACGCATTCTATCGGAAATTCTAGTGACAAAGGTCTGCTTAACAAAGACCTCCTGAAAAACAGAAAAAAAAGCATGTAAACACACAAAGACAAAGTCCGACTTCGGCTCCAGGTCACTTATGTCAACTCGCAACATCATCGAGATTAACAGATTCCTCGTGAAATAAAAAGCCGATCGGTGGAACAAAAGATGAACGTAAAGAAATTAAGTACTTTCTACTTGGAAGAAAACCATTCGACATCTTACTACGGACTACTTGATTCTGCCATCAATGGACTTTTGGTCCTTATCAGCCAATAACCCAACCAAGTGCGAGTTCAGGCCACTTGAGAGGTGCACGATATCGCTCTTCAACGGACCTGCTATGTGTTTCCGCGGGTTACCAAAGTTGTGTGAGATAAAGTGAATCGTCGTGGCGGAACGTGATGGCTTCCCTGTTCTGCTTCAGCAAATATCGGAATCGATCGTTTGGTGCCTATGCATTTCTTTTGGACATGTGGAACCAAAACAGTGAGATATTTAACTAATCGAAGACACTTTAAGTGATGTTCTATCGTCGCGTACTTGAAACACTTAGCCTCTAGACCAGTTGCTAGGCGATCTGATTCGATCACGGCTTGTACACGGTCATTGACAACTCCAGTAGTTACATCAAAACGCCGGTCAACACTGACTAAACAATCTCCATAAGAGAATTTTCAAATCAGTTATGGCACGTACGTCCCTTTGGGAAATAAACACCCTAAATGTTACACAACTCCTTGTAACAATTATGCAGCTTCTTGCCTTTTTACCGAACTAAAAAAAGGCAAGCAGGCTATTTTGAACATCGAACAAAGCATTGCGCAATTCGCTTGTGCAGAGATGTAAAAATGACGTCCATTAAATATAAAGGGAGGACATCACTAGGCTATTTGGATTTTTCAGAACAAACGGCGCTAATTTCATTTTATGTGATCTTGGAAACCAAGTTAATTTGGAAAGGTATAGGTATAAGTCCCTGTAGCGCCGAATTTGAACAAATGCTGACTGACAAAAGTGCAGTTATTGAACCTTTTGACCCTACAACAATCTCAGGTAGTTGTTTAATCGACCCTCTCTCTCACTAAGCCCAAACGAGGCAATGTCCTCCGACGCTGTGGGGTTAACAGGGACGAAGGTGTTACCCACCTAATCAGCCGTTCGTCTTGACCTCGGCCACGGGTCGGTTGAATGGGCCCAGGAGACTGGCACGACACAGGTTGCACTACAGTACACACGCCCAACGTTGCCGGGAGACATGATTGCTGCCGTTTGCGGAAAGTTAGTGCATTGTTAATTTTGTAGCGGGTTAACAGCGATCACGCCTGAGTGAACCCTGCTTACTGACCTCACGGAGACAATGACTCATCCCCTTTTCATTGGCTACTGTTATCAGATGCCTGTCATCCGTTCACACATCCACACACTAAGACAGACACTTGGCTGGCGTGACGCTAATAAACGGTCGACTCCTCTGTCGCATTGGACACATAGATCCCCGTTTTTGTGCTATTGGATTTGTAACGAACCTAGTCAGCTTCAGTAGCCTTCTCGTTACCACGGACAGACTCACAAGAGCATTTAATACATTTTCTTGTCAGCTTACATGATGCCTCGAGCACTCGATTTGTTCGATTTATGGGATAACTTTTGATCCCACGGTAGTCCACAGGAACAAAAATTATTTTTACTCAAAACAAATGATGCTAGACCTAGACAAGCAGAGCTGTTCAGGATTTAATTGACGATTGATTGCCTAAGAAGTTATTCTTCTATGTACTGCCTATTGTCATCCGATTATTGGCACATTAAAATAATCCGGTTGGACGCCTAGAAAGTATTTAAATCAGCGGCACAGAGCTAAGGACATCGTATGTGCCTTCGCCACACAATTACGCAAAAATGACTCACTGAAACACTAAAAACATTGATGTACAGTAGGAGTTAAATGATGATTACTCGCGAAGGTAAATCAATCGAATTATAGAAGTGAAATAGAGGCATGTCAAAAATGCGCCAAGAAACTCACATCGAGGATGTCGGAGACTTCATCGGTGAAGTACCGATTGATGCTTTGATTGGCTGCGCACAGTTGAATGAGGTACTCGTTGCGGGCGCGGTTAGTCGCAAGAACTGTGCTCTCGTAGGTCTGGTGTTTCTGCGCGGAAAACCAAAAATTAAAGTGACACATCTGCTGAACGCACCGATGAGAACAAAAGGAGTTGAGCACATAAGTGTGGCGAATACGACGACGACAATGCCTGCTTAGGTGCAACAGCACTGGACGCTCGCAACTGTCTTTTGCTTGAAAGTGAGACGATCGCTCAGTCTAGAGTTCATCACCGTGGCGCCGGCGACCGTTGGTTGAGGCAATTTGAGAGTTACCCCCAAAACTACCGGTAACCGGCGCAGGTGATCCGAATGACACCAAGTTATTGTAAAGTACGTACGAGTACTTCATACTGACGCAGATTAGTTGTGCTGAATTAACCAGTCTAGGCGCTGCCTTGCCTCTAGCATCAACTCATGAAGCTGTTACGCAATTAATTAACAAGGTATCATCTCGTGTTCGTATTAGGCACCGGCTAAATCCCAGAACGGAAGACTAGGCAGTCATGGTCAACACGTTAGCATGAAGTGACAGCTGAGAACACACCTATTGGTCGAAAACGGGCCTTGAAAGACCTACCTGATTGTAGTCGGCCTGTGCCCGACGGAATTTCTGGCTCTTCTCGGGCTCCTTCTTCTTCGACTGGATGTAGTTGAGCGCGACGGTGAGCTTCTCCTCGCTGCGTTTGCGGATGCGCTCTGCGTCCAACTGGGTGCTCTGGCGTTGGCCGTACTCCCGCTGGTCGGACTGGAGTTTGGCGATGTTGGCGAACACCTTCTCCTGGCACCGGACCATCATCTCGCGACACTAGGGCAAGGCGCAAAGGCGTCAATTATAGCGGATTGACAGCGATCGTGCCTGTGTGAACCCTGGTTGCCGACCTGACGGTGACACTGACTCGTCCCCTTTTCATTGGTTACTGTTATCAGATGCCTGTCATCCGATCACTAATCCATACACCAAGACACACACTTGGCTGGGGTGACGCTAATAAACGGTCGTGTCCTCTATCGCCTCTTTTCACTCCATTCTCGGGTTGTTTCGGGCTGTTAACTAGAGGGTTGTAAGGTGGTGCCAAAACTCTAGCTACTACACTAGCTCTACACTCAACACCAGGCTTGCCAATATGAGCTGACGGCTTGTAGCGGATCAACAGCGATCGTGCTTGTGTGAACTCTAGTCACCGATCTGACGGTGACAATGACTCATCCCCTTTTCATTGGTTACTGTATCAGATGCCTGTCATTTGTTCACTCATACACACACTAGGACACACTTGGCTGGCGTGACGCTAATAAACGGTTGTGTTCTCTGTCGCCTCTTTTTCCACTCTTCTCTGGTTGTTTCGGGCTGCTAGCCAAAGTGTTGCAAAGTAGTGCTAAACGCTAGCCACTGCACAACCATAGTTAAAGATGACACTAAAGTGGTGGTTGTTACAAACCACGGGTCTCGATCACAATGGCACATTAGTAATAGCACGAAAAGACACACACAGTTTGGTCAATTGTTTCAATATGCGAAAACTGAACTGAACACATGTTAAGACAAGACAAAATTGGAAAAATATAAGCAAATCAGGTCGGTTTGCAGGCTGTAGACGCGCATAACTTGTCGGGCAAGGGAATGAGAGAGCCATCACATTTAAAATCACCGATTATAACAACGGATTAACAGGATTTAGACTGTCTTGGCACAATTCAAGGCGCACATTTCAGTTTTCGGAAGTCTCGTACGCTATTAGTCGTAGCAGAAACAGCACATCAGGGTGTATTTAAGTTGTCTGTTTCACATGATGCCGAAGAAATCTCTTCAAGGACCGTGTCCTTCAAATAAACTAGATGGTGGAATTCATCGCCAACACAGCTGGATTCCATAACATAGCCTGAGAACGAATTTGTACTTTGTTGTCAGACCTCTGCGTAGAGAAACACGTGCAAGTGCGAGTGCGCTGTGCTAGAGAGCGTGGGAAGTGGGTCAGGGGGGTTAAAGAACAGCAACGACGAACGCTGCTCCGGCTACTTCCCACACCAGCCAATCAGGAACGACGGAGGACGACACCTGGGTCGCCATTCACCTTGATAGAGGGGCGTCAAGTTGGATGACATGGTGGAAAAGGACCAAAGAGGACAATAACGTGAGATCGTATAATGCGAGAAAAACACGTGATAATAAAACGCAGCAACTGCATGTGGGCCAAAAAAAGTGCCTTCCACGAAGCCTGAGGTACTTTAACAAAACGAAACTTTTGACGTGAATCCGATCAATGATGATAGATGGCCATGACACACGGGCCAACAAGCGACTTAATTTGAATGCCCAGTGCCCGACGGCTATTCGATGCATCTCCGTGGAGATTATAACAAGAAAATGGGAGATAATATGGTGACCTACAAATACACCATTGAAATATCGCGGGATGAATAGCAGAGTCAAATGCGAGAAGTAACCACCTAAGGGGAAGTACTTAGAAGCTAGGTCCCATTGAAATGACTGTCGGTCGAAAAGAAATTTTTCAATCAAAGTGAATTTATTTTGAATACTTCTGTGCGGTCATTTTTGTATGCATTCAGCCCCGGTGCTGACACCTCGCTCTTGCGCTCACAAATTACCAAGTTAATTTGCAGTGTAAAATTTAACCATATCAAAAATCGATGCAGGGAATTAAGGTGTATGAAAATGACGAGATTTGGAAGAAGCTATGAAAAAAGAAACGCGTCACGAGGTCCATTTTGCTTCGGTCAGCATAGAAAAAGTTGAAACTGAGAGAGAGGTTCGGAACCGCTTAACGCGAAAACACACCACAGCTCAACAGAAAACACATGACCGAGGATTCAGTCTACCACCAAACAGCCGACATTATCAGGAAAACAATATTTAGAACAATCAACACTAGTTTCAATGTTCGGAAAGCGTCGCAGGCAGGGAGCCCAAAACCAACCCAAGTAAATGATCATTACTGGACAAGCAGATCCGAAAATGTACTCGGTCCGGTGTGTACGTTTAAGTCGCATAACTTTTACACGGTTAGACTGACCAGTACACAGCATTATTGAGCGTAACAGTTGTCACTGCAAAACCACATTTGTAAACAGATTATATAAACACTGCGTTTCGAAACGGAAGGGCAACACAACGCATTACAACCTGCTAAACTCTTCATGTCATACAAAAATCCAATTTCTGCCACCAACCTGTCGACCGTTAAGTGTTGATCAAGTTGAATCACGTTTCGTAGGAAAGCATTTAACAGATACAATTTGGCAAAATTAATCACAATTCTCTTTCCCTCTATCTACACCCTCCCCTGCTGATAGTAATCAGCCTTGTTCTTGAACTGGAAATAGTAGGCACAATATTGAGCAAGTGGAAGCCGCTGCAACATGACCACATTCGAACAAGGAGTGCTACCTGCTTGTGCAGGCGGTTGGCGTCTTCGTCCATGTCGATTAGACGCTGGACCATGTGCTTGCCGAAGATCTCGGAGAGGGTGGCGTGGGCGTCGGAGAGTCGAAGCGTCGTCCCCAACAACGTGTTCCATAGCGTCGTGGTGGTGTAATTCACCCAGTTCTGCCGTCTAAAAGGAATTTCAGAAAATAATTGAAAGAACATGTTATGAATGGCGTGGATTCATGCTAGTTAATCCGGCCACTCCAGCCTCCGACACAGGGTCCCCTTTTGGCAGCATTTCGCCAGCCGCGCGAGCGATAACTCCCCCTCATTAGTGTGGACGATTATCTTAGATTGTCCTCACACCTCGGTCTCGATGTTAGCTCATCTATGACGCACACATCTGAGGCATAAATCACCACGCGCAAACGCCACACATCACAACGACACTAGCTCTAAGTCAGTGGCCCCGGAGTGATTCAAGATCACATGCTGGGGCCCACAACAAATACTTTTTCAGAGAACGACCCCACCAACGCTCATAGCATCGCCTTGGATGATCCCTTGCAGCATAATGCAAATAACACACGTAGATTTAACCAATTCCCCTTGGTAAGATTCTTCCCAACTACTTAACGCTACGCGATAATTGGTGTGTGGGAGGGATAACTAAGCGGGTAGTTTCTTCAGAAAAAAAATCTGACATCACTCATAAGCAACTGCAACAAAACCACGTAGGACTTCGCGAGATGTAATTTAATTAGGCCAAGACGATGTCCGAAAAAAGAAACGAGAAGAAACTCGTCTCCCGCATTTGCACTTTGACTTGCGCAGCATTGCCGAATTGTGGTGATATGTAGAGGTGACGTACCGGCGACGACCACAAGAACATTAAATCGGTTCCACTATGTGTTCGTCTTCAGCGGAAACACATACGAAACGGATGGGTTGTCGGAAAAGCGCGATGTTTACATGAAAAAAAGTGGCATTCTTTATTCACAGGCATACATATCAAAACACGCATTTTCGGTTGTTTTAAGTTGGAAAAAAGGCAGAGAAGAATCGAATAAAAGGAACAAGCAACATCGAATATTATCTGGACCTCGTAAAGTAGGATTGCGACACTTCGCGAGCTATTATTAGTTGCGGCAAAAAAGCAAAATCTCAGCATGCTAAAAATAGTTTTATTTGAACGGCTGTTTAAGCATGAGTCACAAAAGTCTGACGGACAAACCAGCCAATCATTGTAGGGTGCCGAGTTCCTGATCTGCGAAATGAAATTTTGGGGCAGTAACGGCAGGGTTATACACGTCGGATGAGTCACAAAGTAGGGGATAAAATTGATGGACAGTGGGCGTCTTCCCTTTTCGAAGGACCAATAGAAAAGCCCAACGCCACTCTGGGTGCTAGACCGTAAATATTAGTAAAGAAGGGGAAGCGAAAGAAGAGAATGTGAAGAAGAGGAAGAAGCGGAGGTGGACGAGGATTAGTCATTGCGCCGAGGTGGACGTCAAACGGCACACCGCAGGTGTACACGAACACACAAATAAAACGCTCGGCAGATATGTTTATGTGAGGCGGTTGCACGCCACAGACCTCCGGACAATTAACCGCCTGACGATTGCATAACTCCAAATCCTGGCGCAGATACAGCACCGCTCCACGTTTAATCGCCCATGTTTTTTTCAGCACCAGAAATTGGGCGCTTTGGTGTTTACACTTAAACCGCGTAGTCCGTAGTCGCTGTACAACTTAACCTGTCGAAATGGCATTCCACGCGGGAGTGACACGAAGACTTCGACGTTCACTCCAGCCTACGCCTTCCGGCCAGCAGACGTGGGCAGATGGCGGCGTTTAGGAAAGATGAATGAGAAGCCGATGTTACAGGGGAAGGTTTCCTACCAGTGCCTGGGTCAAAATGCATACAGCTCGGCTCCACATTGCCACAACTTCGATTCGAGGACTTTCCCAAATGGGGTCACTCTCTATTGGCTAAAATTGCTTCGGGTGAAATTCTACATTGGGTTAGTTTTAGCAACAGAAAAGGGTTATTTTTACATGTCACCACACCTATTTAGCAGGTTAATGTCCTTCGGAGTAAGGTGTTTTATGGGGTGAACCAGTGAGTTCCCTGCAATGTGTTTGCGTGCAGACTCCACACGGAATTTAATGTGAGAGATAAACCGCGCGATTGCGTGAATTTCGTCCAGTAATTAAGACACGCAACAGACTCAGTGGGAGTTGAGCGTGTAGGAAAGGAAGATAGCGAAGTTCTAATGTGCACAAAGTGATGGAAGAAATCAAACTTTGCCTTCACGAAGACACTCAAGATGGCAAAGAGGTTGTACTTATGTGGTTGTTGCGTATTACGCGTGTGTGCGTGTGTGTACTTCTTTGTGTTTACGCACTTCATAATCACCACGTTCATGGCGCGAAGAACGACCAAATCGCCATCTACCATCGTTGCTTATGAACCGCACCTAACAGTCGCTTCGACAATTTCTTGAGTCGATGATAATGCTTACACCTACGAAAGCGGCTACATATTTATGGTAAAGGGCTGGAATTTGTGAATACAAACGATTTCTTCATCGTACATCCGATTAGGTAATTATTTGACGCGACATTTAAAAGCATGAGACCCAAAGGGAGAAAATGATTGAATATGACGTAAAAGAGTAATGAAAATAGGATGCACTAAAGACATTTGCCACGCCGATTTCTTGAAACAATTAACAACCGAGCTAGCCTTGGCAAGGATAAATTAAAAAAGATGTCGACGGGATTTTACAAGCAAGTTCTTGGGCTTCCTTTGAAACTCCATAAACATCATGCTGCATGCCTTTCTAAATTAACGATACCTGTCAAAATCACAAAGTGAATTGAGTGAAAGCTGTTGACCAAGTTTATTAGAACAAAGTAATGAAGGAAATAGGGATGGAAGCTGTGGTTATCGTTGTTTAAATTCATCATCGATTCTGGCGCCTCTTAAAATTACAGGAAACAGGAATAACTCCATCAACAGTGGTTCATGTTTGGGAACCCTAAAAGTCACCCCTAAAAAATCATCACTTTTTAATCAAATACCAACAGGCAGCCAGAAGAGGCAAACAGTTCCATAATTTCGATTGCCATCAGATACGGTGAGCCACCAACCTCGAGATTGTAAAATACCAGCCACAACGATGCCAGACATGTCGAAATTACTAAAATCAATTTTCAAAATGTCTGTGTGCGCGTAAACGTCACGACCGCGACAACGTCCATAAATGGAATCACGTCGGTAGTAAATAAACGTACATTGTGTTTAGAAAACCACACAAGTGACGACGTCTGGAGCCTCGTCTCGACACATGTCGCCGATCCAGTCTGAACCTCGAGGTGGCAGAAAACGTATTCTTTTCGAAATTTAAAAAAAAGCACACTTCATGTAACCGAGTTATGCGATGCCTCGTGAGGGTAAGCTGTCGCCACTACATTCGGAGATAATAAACGTTTTTGCAAGCTTCAATCACGAGCAAGGTCACGGGAAATCTTGTATTACCTACAACCAGCTGTTTGAAGGAATATGTCCGATTACTATAATATAGATTTTTTTGGACTTCATTTAGTTAAACGTGGGATATATGGCACTACGAAATGATGAATATATGGCAACCGTCAATGTTTAATAATTTACGAATCCCGTTAAGGCCTGTTGCGTCTGGACGCGGGCAAACTCATCAAAGGTAAGTGTTAACTTCCACAGAACTTGCAATAATCTGCATTCACACCACCGAGATTGATGAGGCACAACTGAAAATATGACCAGAACCTCCTTTCATGCAAGTCAGCAAATGATGCGTTTACTGTGTGTTGCCTTCACGGTTGATTAAACAGCCGGATGCACGCGCCGTGGACGGTCAGATGAAGCTGAATTGCCGCCAATGAGGGGGAACCGAGAGCGTGACAATGGGTTACATTTTAGGACGCTTTTAAAGGGTGTCGGGACGGGAAAATGTGTTTTCTTTAATGACTTGAGACGTGTACAATTCGCAGCTGATCAGGACATGAATGAGGTCAAGATTTGACGGCACAATACCCTCCGCATAGCCAACCTAATCTCGACTCCCTCGGTTAGGTAACTGCAAGATGATTGGCAGAACAGTTTTTTTGATTGGATGGTTTAAATGACACGGGTTCAACTTGCAAGTGTAGGGGTGAGGAAGGGTGACATCTTCGCAGCTAAGCCCCGGTGGGATGCTTCAGAGTCGTGACAGTGACAAAAGAGCCCACACGTAGCCTCACACACACCTTGCGGGTGGATACAAAGGCTTGGCGCAATCAATCACTCTCTAACACGTTGGGCTTGGGTACAGGGCGACGATGACGTTAGAAACAGCGCAGTAAGTCATTGGAATCAGGGAATAAGTGCGAAGTGAGCGACTGTTTAAGCAAGTTCCACTTGCCATCGCTGCCGACTGCGCATCACACATTGGGACACCTACACACAGACAAATTTATGGAATCTACGCTAACGGCTTCAAATATTTCTAACAATCATGACTCAGGGATGAGGTGGCTGACAAGGGACCAATGAAAAATGTCACTTTATCATTATTGGTTAACCGGAACTGAAGTGTTTCGATTTGAAAATTAAGCCTCAACCAACGCCATAGCTGTATTTCTCCTCCATCGAGGCCCAAAGAGCCAAGATTCACTCTTCAGACAGATAGGTGACGAATTCTGAATTAAAAACCAAAAAAACCGCTTCTGCCGTAAAGTGAACAAGTTCGAGCAGAAACAAAAAAATTTCCCACTCAATTAATTACGCACACATGTAACCAATCGCATAACTACATTGTTGCAATTATTATTTACAACCTTAGCCAGTTTTCAGAGCAACAATTTGACACAATTTCGGTAAAAGTTGTCACCTTGTGAAGTAAAACACAAGTTTCATGACTCAAGGGCAGTTTTTTTCACACTAGCAAGCAGCACAGGTGCTCGTCAAGTTTTTTTCTCTTATAGAGACTTATTTCTGAATTGTAAAGTGCATTATTACCGAGACGTCTAGAAAGTGGCTAAGTCTAGCA